CTACTTCCGTAAAGATTTACACCCTCGGAAACCCTGTATAGGGTCGCTATGGGTCGGAATCGAGTCGACGGCACTTAACAACAACAATCTTGTGCTCTAGTAGCGTAGTGGTTACGAATTGGGCTGCGAAACTTAAGGTCGGCGGTTCGAAACTACCTGCTGCTCCGTGAGAGAAAGATGAAGCTTTCTGCTCCCGTAAAGATTTACAGCCTCGGAAACCCTGTACAGGGTCACTATGGGTCAGAACCGACTCAACGGCACTTAACAAAAACAACAATCTTGTGGTGCTGTGGGTTACGAATTAGGCTGCTAACCAGAAGGTCAGCAGTTTGACTCTACCAGCCACTCTGTCTGAGAAAGATGAGGCTTTCTGCTCCCATAAAGATTTAGTCTCACCAGCATTAATAGTGAAGTTCAAAAAGAGAGAGAACAACAAATGCTCATGAGGGTGTGGAGAGACTGCGACCCTCCTTACATTGCTTGTGGAACTTTAGAATGGTTCAGCCTCTCTGGAAAATAGTATGGTGCTTCCTCATTAAGTTATAAATAGAAATACCTTATGTCGCAGCATATATCTGCAAGACACATGAGCCAGAACACAAGGAGATATATGTGTGCCTATGTTCATCACAGCACTGTTCACAATAGCAAAAAAACGCATAAATCTGAGTGCCCATCAATGGAAGAATGGAAAAACAAACTTTGGTACACTTACAAATGGAATATTATGCAATGTTGAAGAACGATGTATCTTCAAAACACCTCAAAACATGGGTGAATCTAGAGGACATTATGCTGTATGACATTAGTCAATCACAAAAGGATAAATATTGTATGAGGCCATTATTGAAAAAACTTAAGTAATGGTTTTCATACTTAAAAAACAAAACAAAACAAAAAAAGATTTGGTCTCATAAGCTCTATGTAGGGTCACTATGAGTCAGAAATGACCCCATGGCAGTGGGTTTGAAATGTATGGACCACGTTCTGTTTATCCCTTCATCTGTTGATGGACGTTCGACTTGCTTTCCACCTTTGGGCTATTGTGAACAATGCTGTAGTGAACATTTGTTCAGTCCCTGTTTCAAGTCTTTTGGGTATACACCAAGAAGTAGAATTGCTGGGATAAGCACTGGACTGCTAACCATGAGGTTGGTGGTTCAAGTCCACCAACACCTCCACAGAAGAAAGATGAGACCTTCTGCTCCTGTGAAGACTGGCAGCCTCGGAAACCCTATGAGTTGGCCACTATGAGTTGAAGCTCACTCAACGGCAGTTAACGACAACAAGAGGTTATGATGACTGTTTGGGAGACTCCTAAGGGGCAGATCTGTGTTGGAAGGAGTGCAGCTAGAGTGCTCCTTGGAGGCCAAGATGCCCAAACATCATCTCTCACACTTCAGACATATTGTCAGGAGGGACCAGTCGCTGGAGAGGGATATCATGTTTGGTAAGGAGGAGGGTCAGAGAAAAAGAGGAAGACCCCAGTGAGATGGATTGGCAAAGTGGCAGCATCAATGGGCTCAAGCGTGGTAACAATTGTGAGGTTGGCCCAGGACCGGGCGGTGTTTCGTTCTGTTGTGCATAAGGTCACTATGAGTCGGTATTGACTTGATGGCACCTAACAACAACAACAAGGGGCAATTTTGATAGATTTTTTTCATAATATACAGGACAATCACAGAGACTTATTATGAAGAAGTTTTCAGAAAATTGAAACTGCATTAGTGAGATAAAGATCATAAAAGTTGTTCTGAGGAATTATGTTTCCCATCACTACAATGCACTTGCTCATTCTTTGAGGGTTGTTGTTGTTGTTAAGTGCCATCGAGTCGGTTCCGACCCATAGTGACCCTGTACAGGGTTTCCGAGGGTGTAAATCTTTACGGGAGTAGAAAGCCTCATCTTTCTCCCGCGGAGCGGCTGGTAGTTTCGAACCGCTGGCCCTAAGGTTCGCAGCCCGCTGGCCCTAAGGTTCGTAACCACTACGCTACCAGAGCTCCTTATTCTTTGAGGGTAGCAAGGGCTATTTTACAAAATTCCTTTGGGAAATATTACGCTATCTACCCTACAGCCTTGATCTTGGCTCTTCAGACTTCTTTTTAGTTCTCAAAACTCAAAGATCATTTAAAAGGAACACAAGTTGAGCTCCTTGAGGATGTCAAAACTGCCGTCTTATAATACAAATAGTTGTTATTGTTAAGTACCGTGGAGTCGGCTTCGACTCATAGTGACCCTACACAGGGTTTCCAAGGCTGTAAATCTTTATGGGAGCAGACCGCTTCATCTTTCTCCCGCGGAACCACTGGTAGTTTCGAACTGCCGACCTTGAGGTTAGTAGCCCGATTCGTAACCACTACGCTACCAGAGCTCCTTAATATAAATAGAAGAACACAGAATTCTTCAAGGAAGGTTTACAGAGATGGAAACGCTGCCTTCAAGTGTCTAGACCTGGATGGAGGATATGCTGAGAAACAATGGCTTTGTACTTTAATATTTTTGTTTAAGGCCTCTATGATTTTGTAGCTATGCTTTTTGACTGGCCTTTGTATATATGAGGGCCTGTTCCTCAGGCTGTTTGGACCATTGAGTAAGATACGGTAAAGAGAAAACACAGCAAAGCACCTGGCACAAAGTACGCATCCAGTAAATGAGAGCCATCAAAAGTTAATTTAATTTAATTTGGTTTCATTTAAATTAATTAAATCATGATGTCAGGGAGTTCTGGAGCCAGAAACCTCCACAGTCTCTCCAAGTCAAACCCAGAGCCCAGCAACATGCCCTGAAGGAAGAAAAGGTCTGGCCCAGTGGTCATTTTAAATGCCAGGATAGCAGGGGATTGGATAAGCCTGTTAGGCAAATAATTAAAATAATGCTGGAGAAGAATATTTAATGTCATGGGGAGATGTCTAGATAGACAAATAGGTGAGAAAAAATTAGAATGCACATATTTGGCAGCAAAAAGAAATAGAGTAATTGGTAAAGTGTATTTCACAAAAACTCATGATCTGCATCCTAATAAGGTGAACAGTGTCTGGGGACTTCAAAACTTGTGAATGGCCACCTGAGACATAACAACAGGTCTCTACTCACCTGGAGAAAAACAGCAGGAAGGTAACCAACTGATCAGAAAAGAAATACATGTACATGAGCCACAAGCTCAACTCCCCTGAGACCAGAAGAACTAGACAGTACCTGGCTTCAATCACTGAGTCTTCTGATTGGACTCACAACCGATGAAATGGGAGATTAACATGGAGAAGACCAAGAATTCTAGCAGAAATTTAAAATCCAGACACAGGAATAGGCGAGAACAGAGGACCCCCGAGGCTCTCATCCAGAGACATTCTTTAAATCTAGAACCAAGCCTCAATTTCTTAAGATCACCTTCTAGCAAACTAGCAGACCTAATGGTCAACAATGTCTGATAAGAAAAGATGAGATGACCAGGAGACTGGGAAACCAGAACACTGGAGGAGGAACCAACAACACAAAGATAAAGTCTGTGCATTGGAATGAACGTAACCAATGTCACCGAACAATTGTCAAATGGGGACCTAACTTACTATGTAAATTCCACCAAAAACTCAACACAGTGTTATTTTTTAAATTCTATGAGAAGCAAATAAAGGAGCTCTGGTAGCGTAGTGGTTATGAATCAGGCTGCAAACCTCAAGGTCAGCAGTTCGAAACTACCAGCTGCTCCGCGGGAGAAAGATGAGGCTTTCTACTCCCGTAAAGATTCACAGCCTCGGAAACCCTGTCCAGGGTCGCTATGGGTCAGAACTGACCCGACGGCACTTAACAACAACAATGAGAAGCAAATAAAGAATACAAAGACTAAAAAGAAGGAGGAAAAAGATCGTACTGATACATGCCACACACGGATGAACCTTAAAAACATTATACCAAGTAAAAGAAGCTAGTCACCAAAGATTACATATTGTATGATTCCACTTATAAAAACATCCAGAATAGGCAAATCAAGAGAGGCAGAACATAGATTAGTGGTTGCCTAGGACTTGGGTGAGGGGATGGGAAGGATGGAGGTGTGTGATGGTTGTACGGCTCTAAGAATGTACTAAAAATCAACAAATCGTACGCTTTAAATGTATGAATCGTATAGTGTTCTTACTGTTGTTAAGTGACATCCAGTTAGTTCTGACTCATAGTGATCCTGTATAGAGTTCCCAAGGAGTGTCTAGTGTGTTTGAACTGCCAACCTTGCAGTTTTATTAAAAAAAAACAAACCCCGGCATTGCTTTGGAGTTCATTTCACCTCATGGAGACCCCAGCTGTTAGAGGACAACTGTAATCTTTATGGAAACTGATTGCAACTGGGTGGATTTGAACTACCAACCTTTAAGCTAGTTGTTGTTAAGTGCTGTCAAGTATGTGCCCTGTTTCTGAGGAGCAACTGGTGGGTCTGAACCACTGACCTGACGGTTAGCAGTCCAGTGCTTATCCTATGGCACAACAGTTGAGTGCAAACCCTTAACACCACCCAGGGACCATGCATATACAAATACACACACACACACACACAGAGCTACATGGTATCCTGGTGTGGCACTGTAGGATAAGTACTGGACCGCTAATCACAACGTCGACAGTTCAAACCCACCAGCCACTTCTCAGAAACACTACATGGGCTCACTCTGAGTCGGAACTGCTGGACAACAGTTAACAGCATACATGTGTCTACACAGGAGAGATTGGGAACCAATACAAGTATTCCTACAATGATCGCTTTCGCTGCTGGGTTTACGGGGATGTTTTCTGTTGTTCCTTTTATGTATCTATATTTTGTTCTTTTCACGTATCTATATTTTTCACCAGGACTATGTATTTTTAAACCTCTGTAAAAGTAATGAAAGAAGTTTCCCGTTTTTCTCTAAGGATTTTTGGATTTGCAAGTCAATCAAATCTGTACCAAGGGCACTTCCTAATCCTGCCAGCATCTAGGCAGCCCTGGAGGAAGCTTCCTGTGAAGTGATTACCTTGTCGACATGGAGTGGCACAGCGAACCTCTTGAGAGTGGGTGTGGAGGTCAGCCTGGAGTTCTCAGCGAAGTCCTGGTTCAGGTTGGCCAAGTAGAAGAGCTCGTAGAGGCTGCTGTCCTTATAGGCGATGACGTCAAACACTATGCAGTCGTCCTCCTCGTAGGCATTGATGTGATGGAAGACGACCATGGCGTCGGTGTAATACTGGCTCACCACAGGTTTCCTAGTCCTCAGGTCAATGATGTGGATGTGAGTCTGAAAGAAGTGGACACTGAGTGCTCAGCTCCTTTGGGCATCTCGGCTCTGTGCCTTCCCGGTTCTGGGCAAAACCCAGCTCTGTCATCCAGCAGCTGGTGCCTCTGCAATGTCCTTCCCAACCCTGAGCCTGTGTCCTACCTCAAAAACACCAGACACCAAAGGCGTTCAGCAAATGGGCGCTACTAACTGCTGTATTTCTGTGACCATATCTTTGGGGTGAGCAGAGAGAAGCTTTACTGCTACAGTGCCCATGAGGACAGTGTTTGGGAGTGAGGGTGCACTGTCCCCTTGGGGCTTCTGGCTGGGCAGCGCCAAGTCAGCTCCCTGGCAGTGGACACACTGGGCTGACCCTCAAGGCCTCCCTGGGCCCTATCCAAGGCCCTTCTCGGATCTCACCTCCACCTCAGAGCCCTCTGTTGCCAGTTTGCCAGGGTGTGGTTACCACAGCATTGCCAACCCCACCTAGCCTGGAGGGCTACAGAGTAAGGTGACCCTGCTCCCTGTGTAAGGACCTCATCTCAGGGGAGTGGCCGCTCATTAGGCAGCTCTCTGGGTGTCACAAGCAGCATCACTGGGGGAAAGGGGGCGTAATTAGCCCTATTTGCAGCCCCCATTGCCTAACACAGAGGGCAAGGGGGTGTGTTCTTTCTTTGCGCTGTTCTGACCTAACCGTACTCCTTCTGAGAGGGAGGGGCTGCTCTGGCTGGTTTGTTGGTTTGCATTTTTTTGCCACCTCTTTCTTCCCTGTCTTGTTGGCTTCTTTCTCCCCTTCCTCAGAGTCAAACCATGGGTTTTAAGAGGGGGTAAAGAAGAGGAAGGTTTAGATAGCATTGGAGAGGTTTCCATATGAGAGCCATCAAGGGGTAAATTATGCTCAGCCTGCCCCATGATGCACCATGATGCCAATCTCTTCCAAATGCATTCTGAAGCCCTGCCCAGGATTTTCTGCCCTGGCTTCTAAGGGCCAGAAAAGGCCAGGGCCCTGCAGTCTTGCTACAAGCTGACGAGCTTCTCAGAGGTGTGTGTGTTGCAGGGGACGGGGCTGTAAAGTACACAGAACTTCAGCGGGTTCCCCGCCCCCATTCAGGTACAAGGTTGCGCTTTGCTTTAGTGAGCTCAGCTGATACTGCCTCTAATTTTTTAATTTTTTAAATAAAGGGCAGTTTGTGGCAGCCCAGAGTAAGAGCACGTCTGTCCTCACTACTTTCCAACAGTGAGAGCACCCTTGGTGTCTCTGTGCCTTGCTTTGTTCAGACATTTACATCGTGTGGTTGTACAATTCAGAGGCCACAGGACAGTGTCAGCATCATGTGGACATGCTCTGGGACCCCAGACAATCTGTGTGACTTGCTGCCCTGCTTTATTGTGTGCATATGTGTGTGGTGGTGGGGGGGGCAGGGTCTGGAAAGGAACCTCCAGTCTCTCCCAGGTCTGCTTGTATGAGGGCTCTATTAGCGTCAGCTTTAGGGAACGGGGGAGACAAAATAAAACCAACCGCTACTTTGGAGTTTATATTCTAGCGCGGCAAGGCAAGCACTAAAGGATGACACATTCATTCAGAGAATAGCTCCAGAAGATGTGTGTGTGTGTGTGGGGGGGGGAGGGGTGTCTGTTACAGACAGGTTACTGCCGGGGGCCTCAGCTCAGCAAAGTCCCCCTGTGCAGGGAAGACAGAGAAGACCTGAAGGCGGGAGCTGGGGGCAGAGATGGGTGTTGTTTGGCCAGTTTGAGATCCAGGAACTACTGGAGGCCAGGAGAGCAGGGGTCACTGGCTGAGCTGAGGCCTGGTAGGGACTTAGAGGTCACAACAGAGACTGTGGACTTTACTCTGAGGAAGATGAGCAATCACTAGACGATTCTGAGCTGAGGAGGTATCTGGCTTAACCTCCCTAATCCTCAACATCTCTGTCTGCCCCCTGAGTGGAAGGAGAGGGGGTTTGGCATCCACTGGGGGAGACAGGGAGGGGGCTATGAATGGGAAGGGGCTTTCCACATG